AGATGTATAGAGCTGGGCAAATATGTGTACGACTTCTTGGTAGTTCTTGTTCTTTTTTATTTTTTGGTTCTTTTCCTTTCATTTGCGTTTCAAAATGACTACTCCATACCTAAGAAAAGGGAAAAAAAAAAAAAGAAAAGAAAAAGATGTTTGCCACAAACCAACTTTTGATAGTCTATTGGTAAGTTTTATGCCACTTGACAGCAATTTAAGATCTTTCTCACAAAATTATGGCAAAAGTATGATAATATGTTTGCATTTGGCTCAATGTTCAAGCGAAAGCTTATGCAGAAAGTGATAACATGTAGTATTTATTTCCGAGGATGTATCAAGTGTATAATCCTCCCTTCCGTTTTGGATAAATTTTGTTTAACGCAATCATTGTAAAATTAGAATTTGCATTCTTATATGATTTGACATATACCCAAGTTGGCTGCAGCTCCAATCCTCGGAACTATTTTCTTTTTCTTTTTTTGTCAATACAGGAGTATTCAGTCATTGTCGGACTAATCTCCTGGACTGTACAGAACCCCGTCCAATAATGTAGGGCAATTTCGCACAGCAAGATTCGAACTGGTGACCTACTGGATATTACAGCATGTGGTCACCAGCTGAACTCCTGCTGGGCCGCTGGGGGCCTCGGCCCCATTTCCCATGTGTTTTTGTCACGTGTCCCCATCTTTCACCTATCCTTTCCTACTTTTTGTTGCATGTCTCTCATTTTCAGTTCCAATTGTATGATAGCATTACTATTAAGGGGAACAAAAAAAATGAAAAGAACCTTTTTAATGGGGACTAAATCGACAGCGTCTGCTTTTTAATGGGGATTAAATCGACAAGAAAAAAAAATAAAGTAAACCCATTATATGTGGATGCTGGGAATGAGTAGCATGGGAAAAAAAATTACTTTCATGAAAACTTATTCTCATCTGTTATCATTTTAAATGGGTGAAGTGTGTTGATATCAAAGGAAAATTAAAGAATTATTGTTTGTAGTTTTTCAGAGTCATGATCCCATGGAAAAGAGTATATATTTCAATACAGTACATTACAACTATTGTTTCAATGATTGTGAGATTTACCCGACAATTGGGTCACATGGCAAAAAGACCAGGTCGCAAATAATAGGCTTGAGTTTCTCCTTATTTTGTCAAAAAATAAGATCGGAAAAAAATGCTATGCTCGTGATCATTGTACCTCAAACTCTTTTACGGACCAGGTGAAGAGACTTGTGTTTGCTAGTGGTGTGTACCAATTGTGGAAAGCAAGAAACTGGCTTATTTTTCAGCAAGGCTCGGTATCTGCTGTTAGCATAATTTCTGTTGTCCTTGATTCTGTGAAGGATGCATGGCCACCAATGTGGGTTTTAAGACCTTACTTGTGGATTTTAGGTGAGGGTTCAAATTCCATCTGCAGTAAAAAAAATCTAAGAATTGTGTTAAAACATTCTCTTGGTCTAGTAAGGTCTGTGTACCTACTAACTCCTGATACAAAAAACTTTTTTAACCTCCCCCTTCCCTTTAATCTAGGACAAAAAGGTTATACAATAATTGTCGTTTTCGAAAAAAAAAAAAAAAGAATTCTCTGAAGGATGCAGTTGCAAGCTGTGTTTTCAAACTCGGACCGGACCGGCCGGTCCGACCGGTTGAACCGGGAACCGGCCAAGTGTCCGGTCCGAGTTGGTCATCAGAACCGAGAGATTCAAGACCCGGTCAACTCCGGTCAAAAATCGGGTTTGACCGGTACAAAACCGGAAAAACCGGTCCAACAGGAGCTTTTGTAAAAAAAGTTCAAACTTTTTTAATATTATGTTTTGGCCCCCTAAATTGTGAAAACTTATTAATATACCTCAAATATTTCATACTTTATAAATATTGTCCTAAAATTTGATGTTATTTTTCAATTAAATCCATAATTTTAATTCTAAACTTGTTAATGTTTATTAAATAATATAAATTGTTACTTGATTGTTCTAATTTCTTTGTATTTTCTTGTTAAATATATTTGAAACATCAAATATATATGAATATACCTTTATTAATATCAATATGTTATTGGATATTTTATATACAATAATTTAATTTTTAAATAATTTTTATTTATGACGTCATCCGGTTCGACCCCCTATCGACCCCCGGTCGAATCCATTGACCCCTGACCCCTGACCTCGGCCGAGTCGATATCCGGTCCGGTTCTGAAAACATAGGTTGCAAGTTGGAGACGCACGCCTTTAACAAAGCAAAACTAGGACTTGCCTATGAAGCTGGGGCTACCTCATGTGTGTTTCAATAGATGAGTGTTCTGGCTGACTGATGATTAAGGTATAAATATTTGTGTAATAGTAATAGTAACGATGCTAGGTGCTGACTTAGTTGGCATGAGTACATTCCTTTGTATGCACTTCCATTGCTGATCCATAAAGATTCAATAATGTTACTCAACAAAGATTGGGTGAAAAGAAGAATTTAGAAATGTTCCTTCCTCAATGATTATGTGGCACGAAAAACCTTTTTCCGTGTTCGAGTACGTGTATTTTCGGTATGCTAATTGTTAATATGTGCATGGATTTTTAGCATTAAAATTCCCGCATGTCAGTGTCAAAATTCATGGTAAAATTTTGTTTTGATTCTAACGAAAATAAGTTAGTACTCCGGCGTTACACTCATAAGTTCAAAAAGTACTCCAAATTATTAGACACAAATGATAGATGACAAGTGATGGATTCCTTTGAGGACTCCTACTTTCATTCTGTGCTTCAATCATCATAGAATTGGTGATTCTATATAGTATTTCTTTTACAACACGACCATCTCGATTTATAGTAAATTCAGAAAAAAAAAAAAAAGTGCTCATCTATAGAAAGATTAACTAAATTGACATCTGGGTAGTTTTACACGAAATTGTAGCTCACCGGAAGCTGAGTTTCAAACAAATTAACTCAAGCCCATCAGTAGTAAGTAATATTCAGGCCTCGAACTCTCATCGGCCCGACGACTTCAATTGTTCATGATTTCCCACCTTAAAAATTGAAAGAATGGGTCATGAGAAGACATTTTTTGCTCGTATTATTTACAGGCCAATCAATATAAACGTCTCTCTAGAGGCAACAAAACCTGGCGCACATCGAAACCGATGTTGCAAAGTATTCGCCGCGTCCTCCAATATTCAGGACGAAGGTGGATGGCAAACTAACAAGACTAGGACCAATATTCAGCTTTGGTCTTGTACTTGATTAATTTCTCGAAGGGATGGCGATGACCAGGATTGGAAGAATGTAAAAGAAGCCGAAGACTATATATGGACGCGGTGACCATTTAAATGAGACTTCTTCTTTTGTGGATTCTAATGAATTGGGTGCTGAAATTAAGATTTAAGCAGATGACCCTTGAGAACAATCTATAGGACCATCCGATGAGAAAGGGACTTTTTGCTTCCTGAGACTACTTCTTTTAATCTTTTTGTTCAGAAGTCCTTTGAATTTGAAAAACGTGTTGATTGAACCACGACTACGATGCAATAGACTATATAACCAGTAAAATATCGACACAATATACCAACTAGGAGTAAGTTGGTATAACGAGTAAAACACGCTATACGAACGAGTAAAAAAAATTAAAAATGCATAGACTTTGAGTAATTAATCTTATGTTAATTTGGATGTGCTCAAAGATTCAAGTACGTACACAGTCCTGAAGCACAATAAAAAAATTTTAATCGGAGTAAGATTTGGACATACATCATAGCTGGTGAAAACTACTTAGTGATTGGAGTCTCTGAAATCAAAAGGATTAGGAATAATTGGAAAATGTTAAAAGTAGAAGAAATATTGATTTGTTCAAATTCTACATTGAGTACCGAACAACATAATATTAAGATGTTTTCTTAAACAAAGATTATTTACGAAGTATTCATCCTAGTCACAAACCTACTCTACTACTAAATCCAATTAGAACTTAATCTGTACTAGCAAGAAGTTTTTCCGTTTTATGACATTGCCTTCTGCCCACGTAGCAGTAGTTATCTAATATATCTAATTCTTAATTTACTTCTAATTGTATTATCATCAAAAAGGTCAAGGGTATGTAATTTGAGAAGTACAGATGCATACATAAATTTTGTTAATTATCCTCTATTGCCTAAAATTTGCTAATGGATTTAAGTTGCAGTGCATCCTTTCCTCTGTGATGTCGCATTCGTGCTATCAGCATCTACGCGGTGCAAACCACGTCTACATGGCTGCAGACCAGGTCTCAAATGACAGTAAATATATAAAGAATTGAAAAAAAAAAAATTCTTACGCTCGTCTTCCAGAAAATCGTGAAAGTAGAAAACATTGGGATATAGGGAATTGGAATGAATTGAAAACTTCTACGTTTATCCTTTTAGTTCACACACACACACACACACACATATATATATATATATTATATTTTCAGGCATATATTTCCTGTCATCTTCCATACGTTCTGCATGCACATGATGCAAGTATGGTGACGCTAATTGATGATGCTATGTATAGAAATTTTGTTTTGGTTATGACGAGATTCAGCTGCTCCTTGCAGTGCCCGTGCAAAGCTTTTCCTCTTATACGTCCCCCACACAAACACACAAGCATGTTTGCCTTTCTCTGCACTCCAAAGTTACCCGGTGAAAATAAAAGTCAAGTCCTGTTAAGCCAAGTATATTGCTAATGGCTTTACTAGCATGTCCAAAATTCAAAGTCTAGCCAAAGCACTCACCCACACACACACACACACCCACACATGCACACACACACATTACTACCACTACGTACCATCTAAATTTTTTTTCTGACGGTCAATTCAGGTTCGACTGGTTGGTTAGCAAAGGCAATGAAATTGCTGATGGTTTTCCTAGCAATTTTAAAATTGCTAAACACGGAACAGCGTGATTGGGGTTTTCTTTCAGGTTTAAAAACCCAAGAAAACCAGCTTCAATCAAATTAAGTCTAGCTCATCAGTAGCGATAATCAGGAGGAAACCTGGCTCAAAATCTCGCCGGCCCTTGAATATTTGTCCCGATTTCCCACCTTAAAAATTGGAAAAATGAGCCCTCAAAAGACATTACTTGCTTGTATAACAGGCCAGCGTGTCTCTCTAGAAGCACCCAAATCTGGCGCGGATCTGGAGGGAGGGTTAGCTAGGGCTTCCCGATATTACTCTCCATATCAGGGAATCGATGTACTGGAGGTTGATCGAGACGGGCTTCAAGGTGTTGGAGGCCGTTTAGGAATTTCTGGTCCATCATTCAAGATCAAGGTGGATGGCAAACCAACAGAATTAAAGGTCGAGTTATATAAGCTTATCAACTACCATCTCATTATTGTGAAAGTGGAGGGTCAAAAAATAATGCTGCATGGCATTCAGGAGGGTAGAGAACCGCGGTGAGTTCGTTTATGCTGGCTATATATGCTTTCGAAATACCACTAGTCCATAACTAGTACACAAAATCATATATAATATGACTATATATAGCTTAGTTCCTTTTCATTTTCAGTTGTTAATTTTGTACTTTTAATTTAAGAAAATGATGACAAAATTCTTAGCAATGGCGGCTTTGGTTTGGTATTTGATTTCTTGAAGGAATCGTAACGGCCTGGATTTTGAAAAAATAAGAGACCATGTTGCTAATGGCGGTTGCTATGATTGGAAGATATCGGGGACTATATCTCGGTGAGCATTGACTAAATCTCTTCTTTGGCTTTCTCCTTTGGAAAATAGATTGAAAGTACAATTATTTATCCTCCCACAGCGTCTAATTAAGAACTTCATAGTTGGTACTTGTTCCTAGTGTACAATGTGCGAGAATGATAAAGCGCAGGGTAATATCTTCACAAATAACTTAAATTTACAGAAATCCACTTTTTCAAATAAATAATGCATAATATCAAATATATATTTAATGACAATCAAATTCGAAATCCCGGGATGTTTATACATTTTAGTATGACGAACCACTATAATATTATGTGCGATGTCAGCTATTATATGTGTGTTCGTGTGTATGTGTGTGTATATAGACACACACGTGTTCCTGAATTGGAAGTCTAACAACGATTTTGAGGCCATGGACTGTTGAAGTAAAAAATCCATGTTTGACAATCGATGGCCATAGTTTAATACTACATACAAACTAAGTGAGTGAAACATTTGATCCATGCATAGTCTATCTTCTGCAGACAACATACGTAATCCTTTTGACTTAAAAGACGGAAACTTAATTGGGCGAGACGAATTTGACTTGAGCTATGATTTGTTATTGAGTCCCGGCAGGCGTTAGTCAACCCTAACGGTAAACGAACGTCATACTTTTTTGAAGTATCTGATTCACTTGTATATTATCTCCAACAGTCCACGCCCGAAGCTTCCTCATTCCTCTAGTTCAGACCGGAAGAGGCGCGGGAAATGAAGGGCCAAAATCTCTGTGAAGTTCCCTGCAGTCGTTTCTGGATGGATAAAAGAATGGTGGCGCAGAATCTTTGGCAAAAGTGGGCTAGTAAATTGTAGCAGTCATTTTATACATGTTTTTTTTTTTTTTCATATTTCTAGTTTAACGATGTATTTCTAGTTTAAGGAGGTCGTATGTGTTATGAACCTCACAAGTGATGTGGTGTTTATGTTTTGGAATGCTTAAATTGTAATGATTTTGTGGTTTCATACCCACAACTTTAATTTTTGAGAAGTACTCAATCGGATGTGTATTAAAAGGAGAGGGGAAGTAAGAAGCATAGGAATGACTAGGATTGTAAGAATCAAAACTACTGAATGAAAAGCGAAAAGCACAAGAGTTTTGAAATGTGATTAACGTCACCTTTATATTAGCCTTTTGGTGGCTAGCTAGATAAAGCATCATCAAGTGTCCAAATGAAATTAATTTCCATCCTTTCATTCCCGCAATATTTGATTTCTTGTCCAAATTTGAGTGATTTTCTACTAAATGGTTCAACTAACATTATTAATTTCTAGTACGTATCTTCTTGAATCTATTATTAAGTTTGTAATAAAAGTGGCTTGCTGTTTTTGACTCGTGGTTTAAGTGTTGCTTCCTTTGCTCATAAGATAAAAAAGAAGAACTGAAAATATTAGGCCAAAAATATCAATTGGCATTATCTTTATCTTCAAATTATAGTGATGATGGGTTTGTTTGAGGACTTCTCCTTTCCCACTTCTGCTTCTCTTCTCAAAACCTGGAATTCGTGATTCTATGTATTAATTTCTTTCACACCAAACCACTTTTCCATTTATAATAAATTCATAGTAAAATATCTCATCTAAGACTCGGTCTCTTTCTTATATCATTTTATTTTGTTTTATACTAATTTTTGGGAATCAGACTTGGTCTCCACTCTCTAATAAATAATGCAGCCCTCTAAAAAAATAATGCATTTTTTAAAAATTTTTATAAAAATATACTGTGATAATTTAATATTTATGAAATAATAAAAGTAATTTAAAAATATATTTGTAAAAAATATAAAAATTTTTCTTCAAAAAAATAACAATCCAAACATGACAATTTAAAAAAAAAAAAAAAAAAAAGGAGGGTGACTGCCCTCCCGAGAAAGGGCGGTACATTGTGGGTAAGTAGCTAAAAATGGCCGCGATAGACCAAGAGCAAAAAGAGCCACAACCATGTCAGAAACGTGTGGCATGTGTGGGGACCAAAGGAGAGAGAACCATGTGGTGCACCCCACCCTGAAGCCGTAAAAAGATCAAATGTGGACAAATCGAAGCGCACAAATAATAGCATAACCAAGACAAGAGGGTTACAGAGTCCGAAAAGGATTAAACAGGACAAAATCAACCGTAAGTGTAAGCCTTACCCCGCTTTACGTAGTTTAGGATAGGATAGGATTCATGAACAGCATCCGCCAGAATATTGTACCTTTTAACTTGATTGTGATTTATGTCATCAAGTCATTGTGTATACTTTGTCACATGCAGAAGTACTGGTGAAGTGGAGTGACATAAAGATTTTTTGCTTCTTAAGAACAAATCATTGATTGAATCATTAGCCATGGAAGGAGGAAAAGGAGGAGGATGCTATTCTGTCCCTGATGGGCTTTCAACTCTCTTCATTCCCTTCTGTCTCGCAATCGTCTGCTACCGAGGCAGGGCCAAGTGCAGATTCAAGATCCGAAGAGAAAAAGAGAATGGAGAGAGGAGAGAAGGAAATTCGACAATTATTGAAGGACATTTTCCCGCTTGCAAATTACTACTTAGTCTTCCAAGGTGTCATTTTCACATCCATCTTTGGTAATCCCTCACCCCTCAAATGCCAATACCGTTGGCTCCCCGTTTCCCTCTCTTTGATTGCGGCCTTACTTAATCTATCAATTTTGATACATATGACTCGGAAGTATGATCGATTAACCTACGAAAGAGAACAGGATGTTGTTGGAGTCGGCAGTCGACCGGTGCCACCTTTTCTGAAAGAGAGATACGAAAGGGGACGAATTATTTCTATGATTTGCTTGGCTATGTTCGTTCTATTTCAAGTCATTTTGCTGTTTGGTTCGTGGAAGATTCAGTTAGGTCTGGTCCCAGGAAATTAACGAACGGGAATAATAGAGTTCTTGGCAACTCAATAATAACAATAACAGAACAAATAAATCAAATAGAGAGACACGGAATTTACGTGGTTCGGTCCAAATGGCCTACGTCCACGGGCGAAGGAGGTAGCAGATTTACTATAATAGAAAGAGAGTACAAAACCTTAGGAAATAATTCCCAGGCCCAAAAGACACCTAAACTGAAAACACAAAAGAGCCTAGGTAGCACTAAATGCTTAATGGTCAAAAGGCCCATGACTTGCTCTTTTGGTTTGATACCAAGCCAAAACCCCTCTTAAACTGGGGCGTGGGCCCCCTAAAAACTCTCTTGGATTGGTGCACATGACACTTGGGCTGGTGTCCTTAGCACAATTAAACTCACTTAAGTGCACTATATTTATAACTATCGCAAGAAGGGCTTTCTTTGTTAAACTCCCGATGTATGATACAAAGACATACTCAACAAATCTTCACTTTGGCGTGTATCCAACATCGGCAAATAATAGACGAATAGCAAACAAGCTCCATCTTCTCCATAAAAGTCTCAGGGGATCTCAACGAACCACAAAAGTCCCAACAAACCACAACGAGCCACCAACGAATCAGAATGCAAAAGGCTCAACAGGTTCCAATGGGTTAAGTCTCACAAAAGGTTCAACAGATCCCAACGGGCTAAAAATCACGAACATAGTAATCTTACTCCACCTTAATCTCAAAACCCTTAACAAGTTCCAACGGATCAAATAGCTCTTCTTCAAAACCCAACCGAACTCCAACGAAATTTTTTTCTTTCACTCTCTGCAGCACCCCAAATCTGTTATTGTCATCAAGAACCCAAAATCTGACCATGACCCAAAACCTGAAGTTGAATCGGGAACCTGAAGCTCTGATACCAGTTTGTTAGGTCTGGTCCCAGGAAATTGACGAACGGGAATAATAGAGTTCTTGGCAACTCAATAATAACAATAACAGAACAAATAAATCAAATAGAGAGACACGAAATTTACGTGATTCGATCCAAATGACCTATGTCCACGGGCGAAGGAGGTAGCAGATTTACTATAATAGAAAAAGAGTACAAAAGAGAAAGTACAAAACCTTAGGAAATAATTTTCAGGTCCAAAAGGCACCTAAACTGAAAACACAAAAGAGCCTAGATAGCACTAAATGCTTAATGGTCCAAAAGCCCATGACTTGCTCTTTCGATTTGATGCCAAGCCAAAAGGCCCAAAACCCCTCTTAACCTGGGGCGTGGGCCCCCTAAAAACTCTCTTGGATTGGTGTACATGACACTTGGGCTGGTGCCCTTAGCACAATTAAACTCACTTAAATGCACTATATTTATAACTATCGCAAGAAGAGCTTTCTTTGTTAAACTCCCGATGTAGGATACAAAGACACACTCAACAGATTCTGTAGACACCAAATTTTGGTACGATTTATTTATTTTTGTTCATGCTAATTTATCTTAGTTATTCTTTTTATTTTCTTTAGTCGTTTACTTGTTTTATTTTATTATTTTTATTTTTAGTCTTTTTAATGTAGAATTTCTCAAAAAAAAAAGAAAATATGTTTTAGTTGTTTTAAAATTCAATTTTTGTCTTGGAAGAAGAAAAAAGAAAGGGAAGAAAATTGTTCACAAAATATGTTTATTTCTTTTTAAATTCAATCTTTTGACTTTATTTATTTTTTGGTTAGGTTATTTCGAAAACAAAAGAAAATGAAAAAATGGAAATTTGCATTTTTTGTTGTTTTTAGTTTATTTTTATCTAATGTTAATTAAGTTGTTTTCATCATTAATTATTATTGTTTTATTATTATCATTTTTGTTGTTTAATTAATTAATTATTTAAAAAAAAAAAACCACAAACCGCAATTTCCTTTCTGCTCTGCACAAACAACTCCCGGGACAGCAGCTTCAGCACCGCACAATGCAGCCAATCAAAATTCAATACCAACTCAACACTCAACCGACCTCTACATTCAAACATCCTCAAAATCACAACACCATTCCATTTCACTCCATTTTCCTGCCTTGGTATCATCGACAAGAGGAAACCAGAGAGAGAGCTGTGCAAGTTGCAAACCTTGAGCTGTCCGAGAAGAGGGTGAGAGCAAGAGATAGCTGTGCGAGCTTCATTACTTCCTCCATCACCATCGAGAGCTGCCACTGCATTCTTCACCCTCAACCAGCCGTGCTTGATTCAACCACAACCACCACAGCTGCAACCACTGAACTCAGACCAACCATCCTTGCGTGAGTGAGCAAGCCGAGAGGAAAAAAAAATATTTCAGTTGCCAGTCGCGTGTATTAAGCTTCAAGCTGAGGTAATTTCTGGACTTATGCTAGATGATTATAGGTTGATGAAGCTATTTAGGGGCATGCATGTGAGGGTGGTGCGGTTGGATGATAAATTAAGTCACAGGAAATCTGATTTTGACTGAAATTAATGTTGTCGAGAGTTTGAGATGGAATTACAGCTTTAGTTTGTTAATGTGTGGTAATCTGATTTTAAATGTGTGTTTAAAAACTGGATGATTGAACTTTGCATGAGGTTAGTTAGCCTTGTTTGAGTAGGAAAATTGAAGGGATACAAATCTGGTTGCATGCAGGCTAATCGAGTAGGATTGTATGAAATTTCTGGTGGGATAGTGATTTTGATGTTGCCGAGCTGGGTTGTGAATCAAATCTAATAGATAGCTGTATATTTTCGGTCATGCATGTAGCTGATTTACGGGCTGCATGTTGGTTTTTAGCCATGAATAATAATATTTGGCTAAAGGGAATTTTTGATAAGGAAAAAATATGAGAGCTGGCCAAAGATGAGGAACCGAGAGCTTGCATGTTTGTTTTGCCGCTTGTGATTCCAGTAAATGGAAATTTATGTTTGGTAATGCATGGAATTTGTTAGCTTTATATGATAAGTGAAGTAAATGGTTGGTTTCGGTCGTCTACTTGGCAGTTTGATTTTCGAATCTACACATTTGATGATAAAATGGGTGGAAATATGTTAAAAGATTCTGTTTTTACTGAATTGGTTGGACCTTTGCATGTTTTCTCGAAAACGTTGAGTTAAAGGTAGATGTTCATATCATGTAGTTGCATTTTTTTTCCCCCTCTCCCTGTCCTAAGTTCACGCATTTGATGTTGGGTTGATGACTGTGGAAAATCTGATTTGAATGTCGTGTAAACTAGTTAGATGTCTGCTATGTTTGGTAGCTTGGGTTATGTGGTGGAATATATCTAAGTTGAGGTGAATGAAGTGAAAGTTTGCTGCATTTTTTCCAATGTATTCCCTTCCATGGCATTTTAATGAATCTTCACACTTAAGTGGCATGTTCAATCTGTC